GATCTAACTACCCCTAAAGACCAGTCAGATCTAACTACCCCTAAAGACCAGTCAGATCTAACTACCCCTAAAGACCAGTCAGATGTAACTACCCCTAAAGACCAGTCAGATCTAACTACCCCTAAAGACCAGTCAGATCTAACTACCCCTAAAGACCAGTCAGACCTAACTACCCCTAAAGACCAGTCAGACCTAACTACCCCTAAAGACCAGCGAGGCCTAACTACCCCTAAAGACCAGTCAGACCTAACTACCCCTAAAGACCAGCGAGGCCTAACTACCCCTAAAGACCAGCGAGGCCTAACTACCCCTAAAGACCAGTCAGATCTAACTACCCCTAAAGACCAGTCAGATCTAACTACTTGTAACTACATCGAGCTCAGTTCTATGTTAAAGCACTGCGATGGTTTCCAGCTGGGTCAGGTCCAGTCAGGTGTGGTCAGGTCCAGTCAGGTCCAGTCAGGTGTGGTCAGGTGTGGTCAGGTCCAGTCAGGTGTGGTCAAGTCCAGTCAGGTGTTGTCAGGTGTGGTCAGGTCCAGTCAGGTCCAGTCAGGTGTGGTCAGGTGTGGTCAGGTCCAGTCAGGTCCAGTCAGGTGTGGTCAGGTGTGGTCAGGGTGCAGTAACCTGTTCTCAGGTGGTTCCTTCAACAGAAGCTCATGTTTTAAAGTTCGGCTCATGGTCCCACAGTTTTGTTTCTCTCTGGAACAGGTTCTTAGATCTTTCTGTTCCTCCTCAGTTCTGCCGTGGTGCTCCGCCTGTCATGCGGGTTTACAGGACGATGCTGTTCAAACAGGAAGTGGTTCATGTTGTTCTGGTCCACAGTCCAGACAATCAGACCTTCTCTGATTATCCTCTGCTGACAGACGACCCGAACGCTGTCTGTGTTTACAGAGACGGTCGTTTCATCTGGAGACCAGAGGCCATGAGTGATACTCTCTGGTAAGATCAGGAAACTAACAAAGTTTCTTCATCAGAGCACAGAGGAGATGTTGCTCAGTCAGAGATGATGGTTCTTCCTGTTCCTCCTGTCAGGTATGAGCTGGACCTCAGACCTGATCAGAAGCAGATGGAAGCTGTTGAAGTTTGGGATCATCAGTTTTTTGTTTGGAATCATGTCGCCATCGCCCTGCATGTGGAGAAACCAAAGGTGAGTTCAGGATTCATTCTGCTCAGTGTGTTTAT